ACATTGTTAGATGAGGCTGTCAAGCTCTGTTTACTTCTATCCCCACATTTCTACCTCTTCAAAATGAGTTTCTACCTCCACTGGCATGTCTGTGCTCAAAGCACTGGCAGGCTTCAGGCTATCCTGTTCCTGGTTAGAATGGTGGCAGATTTTAGCCTGCAGCTTGTGCTCTCCTTTCAGCCATCTTTGACTATCCTCAACCGGATAGGAATCCACTATTGTTTCTCTTAAAATTTCTTGATCTTTATTTGATCTAGTGTCCTTTTCGGAACACTGCTGGAGTATATGAGAAAACTGTTCTTTTACGACCGTCATCCTCCCCAAAATGATTTTTCATTAATTCATTTAGCTTCTGTATCCCTAGCAATATACATGCTTTATAAATACTTTATGATTGATAAGAAATAGCCCAAGATGTTAACTATGACACTAGCAAACAGGCCTTAATGTGGTTATAGGTGTCAAGTAAATAGACATTAATTATAATGCCCAGGAATGGGTCTGTTAAAATATCTTTGGCTCAATCACTGATATATTGGGAGATAAGTCATTGCCTAAGAAAAAATACTGCAAATGAATTTTAATTTCTTAATAATTCAATAAAATTAGCATATCTGGAGGGTAATGATAAAGGCAAAGCACTTTTCATATTGAAAGTACTCACCAACCAGATGGCTCTTCTTTTGAATGGCTAGCTCCTCTCCAAACCTCCAATTTAAGGAGAAAGCCCAGGTGAAAGATATCTTCATCCCTTTCCAGGCCGCCCTGCTGACTCATCTCCACAGCACTTTTTCTACCAAGTCCTGAACCCAGTATCTTCCCCAACACACTGTCTCTCTTTCTCTGTCTCTCTCTCTTGATGTGTTATGTTCCCCTCATTAGAATGTAAGCTCCTTCCAGCAATGACTGATTTTCTTTATGCTTTGAAATGCTTAGCAGTGACTGGCACTTGCTTGTTGACTGACAGGTAAAAGGGATAGTATTATACAATCACAAGTCACTGACTTAGAACTGGACGAGCAAATCATCTAGTTTGATCAACTAATTTTTCAAATGTGGAAACCTACACCTAGATAAGTTAAGAATTCACCCAAGACCAAGGGGTAAATAGCAGTGGAGGGTTTAAGACTCAGGTCCTCTAAGTTCCCAATCTAGCACTCTCCAGTGTACCATGAATCCTTTGCCATCTATTCAGATCCCCCAAGTAACCAGTTCACCGCCAATTTCTTTAGCCCAAACAGAGAGAAATTGTCAATTTCCTTTTAGTTTCCCTATCAAGTATGTCACCAGTTAAATATTATCTCTTTGCTCTTTCTAGTGTAGTCGATAATAAATAAATTTATTATAAGTATGAAAAAAAGTAATTTGGCGTAGTTGATAGCGACTTTTAGAGCTGGCAAGATACGAATTTAAATTCTGATTCCAGCCAACATACTGGCTATGTGACCTTGGGGAAGTTACTTAATCTGTATGTGCCCCTGGCAACCCCCTAGGACAATGAACTGCTGATCTGCAGTAATTGAAAAAGTTCTACTCATTGGGATTTCCCTGTACCAACAAAATCACAGGTATGATATATATAATCTATATCGAATTGCTTGCCTTCTCAATGAGGTGGCTGGGGAGGGAGGGAGGAAGGTAGAGAATTTGGAACTTGAAGGAGGAAGAGGAAGAAAAAGAAGAGGAGGAGGAGAAGCTTGAATCAAGGTGGAAAAAAAGAAAAAAGAAATCATGGGTATGGAACCTCCTCCGGCCCCCAAAAGAACAAAATTATTTATAATGTGGACAAATATAGCATTTTCATGATTGTGAGCAACAAGGCATGTTTCTGAATTAATTATTAATGAATGACTAAAGCATTTGTCACAAGCAAAGCCCTGTACTAAATGAGCAAAGCCCTGTACTAAATGACAGGGATACAAACAAAACAAAACAAAAACCAGGCCCTGTTCTCAGGAGTTCACATTCTAGTGGGAGAAATAACACACACAAAATGCTTCAGCTGTAAGTCAGATGGGAAGGTTCTAGGGTCCTTAAGGTAGAACAATGAAGCACATAGGAATGCTTCTTCTTTAATGCCATCTCCACTGATAAAATCACATCAGTTTCTCATGTCGAAAACACTTCACTGTGCCAAAGACTTTGGTCTTGGTGAGCCTTCAAGAGTAAGTAGTTCTAGTCCCTACAGGAGCAATTGCCAATTACGATGACAGCCGAGGACAACAGGCTGGAAGCACTGCCATTCTCCAGGTTCTTGGGCTCAGGGTCCTGGGCTGTCTTTATCAGGGTGGTAGGGTCAGTGCCAGGTAGCCCTGCAACTGCACAGCTCACACCGTCTCCTGTCTTTACCCCAGGATGCCTCACTATTTCAGCTAGGCTGGTCTGTCTGCCCTGTGAGCAGCAACAGGTTAGCAGCAGGGTAAAAGAACTGGCTCCTTCTCCACAGGAGCTGCCTCCCCATATAGGACAGCTGAACTAGACGCGAGATGAGTGCCGTGGAAGATCCCGCCACTCGAAGAGCTCCTGTGCTCATCTACCTACCGGTGACAGCCGGTCAGCAGTTACTGCTCGTGGCTGTAAGAAAGGCGGGTCCCCTCCACAGCTTCTCTCCTCAATGATAACTGGGAGGGCTGGGCTGGAAGCAGGTCTGGTGGTCTGAGGGACACTGCTATTCCAAGAATCCTGGGTTCAGGATCCAAGACTTTCTCCGTCTGGGAAATGTGGTTAAGGGAGTGGTGGCAGCCTGACGTGGCCAGCACACGGTGCTTTCTACCTCTCCTCCGGGGTGCCTTGATGTTATTTTATACATATGATATGTAAAATAGTATTATATACACATAAGCTTTTAACAAATTCCTTTCTAGAACTAAAATGCTTTGTTTTATGATTTTAGTAATGTTTCAATCAGACGTTCAAAAGGAACCTCATTGAAAAATGTGCTTTAGGACTGTTTTCTCCTATATATACATATACCCCTTTAAAATACTGAGCCTAATACATTACCATTTATAAATACACACAACATACATGTGTGTCAGGACCTGAAACCACAGTGGATCATTTAGGACGCTGCCCCACTAAGAAATACCTAGGATGGAGAGGGGAAGAAAGAACAGTGGAGCACTACATTTTCACACATTTGTGGCACAAACTTGGAAACAGCCCCTGACAAAGAAACACTGAATAAGAAATGTCTACCAGCTAGGAGCTTTGGTTGGGCCTATAAAATGTAGTATGATGCAATTTGACAAACTGACAAACTACCCTAACTACATATGGACATTTTAGTAAGAATTTATGATAAATGTTAAATTTAAAGGTACCAGATATAATTTCTGTGATGATTCAGGACTATATGAAATGCACTAAACAGTATTTAATACTTACATGCCTTACAAAGTTATAAACCTAATTCACAAATCAAGTGACTTTTTAAATAATCAAACTTGTAACTGCTGATTCCCAAAATTCCATACCAGGTATACACATATTAAAATTATTAAGACAATTTTAGGTTATGAAAATAATTTCAAAGGAATATAAATTTTAAATTCTTGGTTTTTAGGTATCTCAAAGATTATAAAAGAGAGAAAAATTTCAAAGCTATACATTTTCAGCATAGGTATCCTACCAAAATTCAGCTTGCATTGTATCTCACACACATTTCATAGATTAATTATACTTCCAAAAGACACAATACTGGATACTGATATTTTTTGAAGATAAATGATAGTCACTGGAATTGTTAAAGCATCATGCTTGTATGCTGGTAAAATTATTTAAATAAAAATCTGACCAAAAAACAACCTGCATTTAAAAAGTTCCTATAAAATTAACTATAATTTCAATTTTATAAAACACACACATTAATATTCTCAGATGGCTCTCCCTCCCTCTGTTTTTGCCATATTTTCCCTACCAATTAAGGTATTTTACAAATAATAAAAACAGTCACATAAATCCTAGTGTGATCAAAATTCAGTCTTTTTTTTTTTATAGTAATATCCTAAAGACAAAGATTTAGGATACATTAAAGACCCTTTCATTCCCTTCATTACCCAAAAATCTATAACCCAATTACAATTCTCCAAATTAGAAAAAAAATGCTAACTAGCAAATTTTTATACAGGTCACACACATTTTTCAAAGTTTAAACACAAGTGAAAAGCGATAATCACAGTACAAATAATCAAGGCCTGTGGAAATTTTTAAATAGTTTAAAAGCAAATTTGGAAAAATTCATGTGATTCTCTATATAAAGCACTAACACTGTTAACAAATTTAAAACATAAAATGATAGCATTACATCAAAGCAAATAACAAATGACTTTCATAACTTAAATTAATTCATTTACCACTCAGTCAAAATTGTCCTAACAAAATAAAAAATAGTATTTGAACACTAACGTTCAGATATGTAAGAATTACAGATCTAAACTTTGAGGAAAGTATCTCAAAAGTAAAGGCATTTAAAAACTCACACCAATTCTCAGGAAACTGCATGATCTTTATTTTTATTACAAAACATTCACAGAAATAACTATACTTCAACCTGAAATCCAGAAAGTTAACAGATCTTAAGCAGGGAACTTCTGAATAAATCTCAATTAAAAGTTTGAAAGTATTATGTCATATATAGGATTGTGGTGGGAAGGAAAAGATTTGACCTAGTAAAATGGTGGTGCTATATGAACTGGGTGAAATTTAAGATTAGTATGAACACCAAAATTCTTAACAGTATTGTTATAAACACCTTGTGAGCTCTCTAATTGATTCTCAAGAAACTAAAATTAGAGTGCTAGTTTACAATGAAAATACAATAAAAAGTAGTGTTTTAAGTAGGTATTTATGCATATATGCATTTTATAGACAGGGGCACACACACACACACACACACACACACACACACACACACACACTCACCCACTCACTCTCATACACATACATACACACAAAAAACTGAAATATGTTTTGGAAAATAAAAACTGACAAATCCCTACCTGAACCAACAGGAGAAGAGCCAACACTAAGACTTTGTAAACTTCCATTCCTGAGCAATGTAGGAGATTTCTGAAGACTAGAGCTTGTTATACTTCCTGCAGCAGATGCTACAGATGATGTTGGAGAAGCAGACGAAACAGAAAGATGGGAAACATTCTCTTGATTTTTGTTTCCTTTGGGTCGACCAGGCCCATGCTTATTTTGTTTACTTCCTTTTCTCTTCTTTTCTTTTACAGTTTCCTCTTCAATGCCAGAACACTGAACTCGTTTGTATCCTGCAGTAGTAAGACTGGCATTGCCCAAGTCTCCAGGTGAATTTTCAAAGTTTTTAGGCTGAGAAACAACTGCTGACGTGGAAGGGAGACCAATTAAGGAACTAAAACTATTCACCCCCCCTTCCTGGCTTCCAGATTCTCCTTTATGTACATCTTTGGTTGATGATGACTGTTGGGAGTGAGTATAACTGTCATTGCGTAGGTCTGATTCCGTAAAGCTCAAGAAATCCTGAGGAGACTGGACTGAACTTCCAGAAGATGATTTTACACTGCCTGGAGTTCCCGAAAAACTTCCTGTAGTAAAAAGACAGGGTGGGACAGGGGGAAAAAATTGGATACAAAAAATCCCATCAGCGAACCAGCTTAAATAATTCATTTGCAAAAAAAAGAAAAAGAAAAGAAAAAAGAAAAAAAAGTAGGAATAAAAATTTAACATAAAACTAAGGACTATTATTTTATACCAAATAAATTTTGGATTTCCCAACATATACCATTTAAAAATTGTCACAGTTGAAAGGAAAACCACATAGTGGCAAATACACATTTTTTATCTTAAAAGGCAAAGGACTATAAGGACACTATTTTATGTGTGATTTAAAATTCTACCAAAGAACCTACCTTTTGGGAGGACCCTCATCTCTCAACTTTTTCCCCAAGCAGATATTCAGAATGTGGCTAAGACTATAAACAACAGTAGGGTCTCCTTTGGACAACCCAAAGCTACAGGGGGACCTAACAAGACTTTAACATACATGGGAGGAAGAAAGGGAAAGGAAACTACATACTCATTCAAATATTAACAATACCAAGAAGGTTGTGAGTACTGCTCATACACTTTATGAACCAAAGTCCTTCTTTCTGGGTGTGAGTATTTCATCAAATGATAAGATGAAGAGCTGATAATATACCTATGTTTGACCAAATATGTCAAGTATTAGTTTTGCCATTTTTTATTCCAATCATTCTACCAAAGGTTACAAATGCTGGCATGTTTATGAGTAGACAGGACCTAAACTTCGTAGATGTCTTCCAACCCATTGCTAAAGCAGCTAAAAATGAAACCAAGTCAACTTATTTTCTAATCTTGGTACCTTTTTTACTCCCTTCCCTTCCTCTCAAATGGATCAAAGGGAAGGCAAGAGGGTAGGAGGCGGAAAGTGTTTAAAACATCTCTTCTGAGAAACTCACATCATCCTCAACTAAGTTACGTAAGACCACTACGGGAGCACACATTTTTACTCACTAAGTGCTCTTATTTCATACTGAAAACTTAATACAGTTAGATCCAAAAACATTTTTTTCACTATCATCTCCACTGAAAAATGTATGGCAAAATATACTTTTTATAATGAAGTGAATTAACAAATTTTGACCCATTTTGACCCAGCACATGTTTTGTAAACTTGACCAGTATCATGTTTTAGCGAAAGCAATATAAAGAAGTTCAAATGAAACACACTTTCACACAGTAAAAAGGAACTTTCAAGGGGTTAAGTAATAAATTTAACAGCACGATATGTTTACATGTAAAGAAAAATTATATTGTTGAGATCTGTTTTTATCAAGAAATACATAAAAGTCATCTGAATACAGAGGTTTTCTATAAAGTTCAAAAGTAAGAACTTTTTTTTCATGGGCATATAAAACATTTTACTTTTTAAGTTTACCAAATATTTTGTTGGCATGCCCACTAAGATTAACATTTTTAAATTACTTAAGTAGAAAAGCATACACATTAACAACCTGCTTATACTATATAATTTTCATTATTTCAATGATTTAAGGACAACCAGTTTTGTCACTTAATTAGCAGCTATAAAGAGGTTCTCCATCATCAATCCTGATCTGTCACCATCTGTCTTGCTTTTACAATTTTTTTTTTGTTCTTACATCTGGCATTAAAATTTTACCATAGCATAAACTAAATAGTATTAAATTAAGGAATATTTTACCAGCACATAATAATACCAATACTTTGATAGAATATCTTCCCTAACATACCTCCTCATTCTGATATAAAACAAAAATAAACTTCCTTCATTTTCTGATAACCACAATTAAAGATTTTTTAAATTATATACAATACATAAATTCTCACATAAAAATATGGCATGAATATATCTAGCATTTGCCTATGATACAGGCGTTTTGAAAATTCCTTTAATTTTTATGAAATTTAAGAAGATGGGTTTTCCAAGTAGATTTTTAATTCAAAGACAGAACAATAAAAATGAACTCAGAAATGCAATTATGCTAGTGAAAAACTGGGTCTTAATTGTAAGAGAATATTTGAGTGATTCCTGTTAATATATGAATTAATATGAAATGTGAACAAATGTAATGCAAAAATTGCAAAACAAGTCTATTTTATGAGCTAACAATTTTATTCATCTAAAACATATAGTAAATTCCTGGGGCATTTTCCAGTTTTGCTTTACTTTTTAAATAATTCTTTAAGTAGAAGAAATGAAAAAGGATTTGAAAAATCATTATGTCTGAAATAATCTTTTGTGTATAAAACATGCTAATCTACATTTTTCTAAACAGAGTGACAAACTAAGGAATTTTACATAAATGTTTATGGAACTGAATTGAATTTGAAAGTATGGTTACTTTGATGAAGTAATGTTATAGGAAGACAAAAATTTTACTTACTTATCCCTACAGGGCTAACAGAAAACAGATATTTAATACAAAAAGTATAGATAAAATATTTGGCAATTTTTACTTGTATATTTGTATGTTTATGTGTACTTAACACCCCAATATACATATATAAGAAAAAATTAAACAGAACAAAAAATCTGATAGGATTACTATATTCTATGACAATAAATTCACTTTTAACACATTCATTAGAAATAACATGCTTGAGAAATACTGCTTTTCGATGAAAATGAGTCATCTACTAGAAATTTAAAGGACAAATTTTCTTCTAGATTACATATTAGCTATGAAAATTAGGGGTTTTTTTCCCCCTTTGGTTTCAGTTGGGTTATTCTTTTTTGCAGTTTTGGAAAAGGGAATTTTAATAGGAAAGGGAAATAAAAGTGCCAAATTAACCAACAGAGAGGAAAGACTACTGTATAGCCTAAAAAGAACCTTGTCTTTTGAAAATGACAAGCTTAAAACCTAAAAAATATTTATAGTAACAAAAGAATATAAGCCTAATACAAATAGAAAAATCCAAAAGTTATTGGTTTAAGAAAGCAATTATTTTTAATGAACAGAAAAATTAAAGGCTAGAGCTACATAAATTTGAGCCAAAAGAAACATAATCACCAAATCTTAAGCTATATATTCTCTGCTGTCACCCTAATATCAAGTTTTATATTGAATTCATTTACAATGAAAATCCAGTTCAACTTCAATATACATCAACATATAAAAGGAACCATTAGTCATCTAACATTTAATTCCCCCCACCTCATTTCAAAGCATATTAACCTGGACTAGGCAAATAATCATTTAATTATTTTTATATGTTCCAACTTAACTTCTTTCATTAGCCAAGACTAAAAGAACAATTATCTTTTGTAAAATTTAACTACTTTTGATGAACAAGAAAACAATGTTATAACTATAGCACCATAATTAATACCTTGCTGAAAAGGACTAGCTGCTGACACAGTTGTTCCTGGATTCCTTCCACCACCAGGCTTTCTTCCCCTCTGACCTGAGCTGTGACCTGCTGATTTCTTCCCTTTGCTCTCTGACCCTCTAGTCTCTGACACATCGTTTCCACTTGAAGTGAGTGAGGAGACTTCCTGGAAATTTGCATTTGTAAATCGAGCTGCAGTATCTTCCAAGCGCTTCAATGAGCCTGACATAGAGCTGTTGCTAGTGCTTGTATATGTCTAACATTTGGATTAAAAAAAGGAAGTAAAAGAAAAAAGAAAAAAAATAAAAGGACTAAATTAGACCACCAAAAAAAAAAGCCCCAGACTGCATGTCACCTTATGAAAAATGAATATCGCATATTTAAAAATACACATAAGAAAATAACCTAAGGTTCATTTTCAGTGCTACAAATCAAACCAGTTTACATTATACATCTAAAAAAACTTTAAATTTACTCTAACATTGAATTAAGACTATACATATGGCTATTTTAAATGTAAACTTCTTCACATTAGAATATGAGCTGACAATATGACTAGTACAGCATTAGATTGCAGCAATCAGTGAAAGTGCACATTATAGTAGTAATCTTATTTATTAAATGACAACGAATAAAACTGAAGGCACCATGAAACATCTGAAAACTGCATTCTTTCCCACAAAAAGAAAACACTGCTTTCATTATTATTAAATTATAAAAACAATTTTGGCATTCAGCATAATAACAGGACAACTGCAAAGAACTAGGGAGGACTACTTTAAATCACTATGCCCATGAGAATAGGAAGAAAATCTAGTAAGGACAGAGCAAGAATGTTTTAAAGAACTCAGGGAAGAGGGGAAGAATGTTTTAAAAGATAGAAAGATTTAAATATTCAAAGTGGAAAATGATTTCAACGCTGAAGTGGATAAGGGGAATTATAGAGAAAACTTATTTTGCAGAGCAATATTTCTTAAGAATTACTGCACTTCAAAATACACTTCAAATTGATGGAGATTATTTCTTTTTTGAAGGCTAAATAAACATTTGCTTAAATAAGTTTGTTATACTTTGCATTGACTACACACTGTCTAAATAAAGCCAAATTCGAAAACTACAAACAGCAATTTGTGTACATTAATTGAAATGCCTCCAAATGTTAAGATTTTGTAGATATTTCCTAACATAAAAAAATATACTTCTTCCCCCAATTCTAAGTATTACTTCTAAGGCTAAATATATTTTTAAAAGAAAAAAAATTTTAATCATAATGATAAACCTAGGGTGATATGAGGAATCAAAACTTGCAAAATACAAATTAGAATCTGAAACCTCCACCATACACTCACCACTCAATACAAACTGTCAGATACATTTGAAAAATGAGGAGAGGGCTATGAACTCTGAGGTTTGTACTGAGCAAAATGGTTAAAGAGTTTTTAGTAAAACTGATGTTTAGAAGTAGGGGGAAAGGTGAGGAAGGGACATATTCCAATGAAAATTAATGATTTACTGGGAATATTTTCTTATTTTTCTCTAATCTCACTACCTATTTTCCACTTTTTAAAATGTAAACACAATGAGGTCTACCAAAACAGAGTTGATCACTATTATCCTGAACTATATAATCCACAAGCATGCCCAACAGGCTTCAAAGTGAGCTCAGTAAAAGATAAAATCCCATTTAACAGACCAATAGGATTTAAGTTGGTTAAACTTCATGGCTTACTTTAGAAACACGAACCTTTTCCATGCTGGGCAGGTCAATTTGGAAACCACCCCAGCTCACTTTTCAATCATTTTTCCATTAGCTTGGGCTGGTCCTGAAGTTCTCCATCCCACTCACATCTGACCCTGTATGACCCAGTGCAGGTCAAAAGCCATATAAAAAAAACACATTGGTACTCTTCACTCATGTGTCAAGTGAGGGAAGGAGAGAAAACTCACTGGGAGTACTGTAAACGGAAATATAATATTAGCTTCTACATATACGTATAAATTAGGGTTGGTCAATTTAACTGGAAAGTCTATTGACCTACAGTACAAAACTGCCCATATGCTGAAGACCATAAATTCAGTAAAAATTATTTACAAAATTTACTATGTTAGAAAAGGCAATACAAAGAAAGCCATGAATGACAAAGCCAAGTAAACTTCAATGGCCATAATTTAATCACAATTAGCTTTTTTTTTTCTGATAAAGGGGAAATTTTCAATCCTAGAAAACTTTGAAGTGACAATTGATTCAAGACACCACATCATAGGAGAAAATGCATTTTAGTTAAAATTTTTGTTTCTATTAGCAAAAAAAGAGAAAGTAATGCCAAATTGCTAAACAAAAGTCATTCTAATATAAAACTAATCAATATAAGATATAAAATTCAAATACTCATTCTCAAATAAATCCATGCTTATAATAAAATCTTAATTTGCATTAGTGCCCCACACAATTTTGCTATGTTTATGTCATCCAAACATTTTTCACTATCACCTACTGATATCCGGCATAAGGGAGTAAATTGGGACTACTCTAGAAAACAGGCCCAGTTCAAAGAACCAAAAAAGCATATATGGACACAAAAGTACAACTCCTACCTTTTTAATTATAACCAAGAGTCTTAATCTAGAAGACCCAGTAGTTAACATATCAAAATAGAGTGCAGCTCAACTGTTATAGCGAAATCAAATACTACAGTTACAATGTTTTTCATAAAATTATCCAATGAGTACATATCATGTTAATAACAAACAGCTACCTATCTTCTCTTGAACAATTCTTCATGAATCATGTCTTTAAAAAAATTCCGTCTATTATTTAAAATTGATATTAATATTACCACTCTTTTTAGTGAGTAGTCAACAATTACTAAAATAAGATTCATTTTCTCTCTTAGAAGATTAAAAAACCTTTGAACTATTAAATATCAAAGGCTAAAGTACAAAATTGCAAATAATTTTTTTAAATTACAAAAAAGAAAAATTTCCAGTAATAACATGACATAATACATATAAACACAAATTACAAACCAGGAGATTTAGCAATTCACTGTTTAAATTCCAAACCACTCATATCAGAAATTTCTGTCAAAAAATAATACTGAGACACAAAACAAAGCAACTTTTGAGAAAGAAAAGTAAAATTAAAAAGGAACAGAGGTATTATGATCTGGAAGAATCATAACAGTAGCTGACATTTACGTAGCACTTTAAGGTTTACGATGTACTTTATACACATTATCTCAGTGCCACGTCATGACAAAATAATTTTTTCTTGCCTCAAAATCTCTGGAACCTGCCAAGAAAGAATGGTTAGTTATAGTGGCCCAATTCCACTATTTAAAAGAAAAATTAAAAAGTATTCTTACGTAGTACTTAGTACTCCTAAGATTAACTCAATGTTACAAAGCATAATTAGGTGAAGAATTATTATGGCTGTCTTAATAGTTTTAAACTCATACTTAAAATATATAATAACAGTCCACATGTAAGATCTACTTTTCCACTAATGGGCTCAAAATATGAAGAGTTTAGCTTCCTTAATAGCTTTGCAACTCACAAAACAAATGTCAATCAATCAATTAAAAAATGTATTAAGTGTCTGGTATGTGGTAGGTTATCCTGCTAGGCCCTAGGAATGAAAACACAAAAGAGAAATAGTCCCTGCCCTCAGGGCTTCCATTGTGCGGCGCTGGTAGACGCACATACCCATGTAAGGGTATGGGTAGTGAGATGGAAAGGCTTCATGCAGATGGTAAAACTTGAACAGAACTGTGATAGAATGTAAGGATTATAAGACACAGGTGGGAATATGTTTAAGTCATGGAAGATAGTCAATGCAACAGAAATGGAATATCATATATGAGGAACAGTAAGAAGCTCAGTTTGGCTAGACCACAAAGTATGTGGAGGGAAGTAATGCATACCATAAGGCTAGAAAGGTAGCTCAGGGCCAGGTTAATCAAAAGGCTTTAAACGCCAAACAGAGTAGATTACATTTGATTCTAAAGGTAAAAGGTAAATAATTAGAATTTCCTAAGTAGGAAAATAACCTAAGCCTAAGTATTATGAAAATTGGTTTGGCAACTGTGTGGAGGGTGTCTGGGGGGAAAATCTGCAGCAGGGAGACCAATTAGAAGGTTAATTCTCTAGTCTAGGTGGGAGGTAATGAAGACTTGAACTAGGATGGTTGCTATGTGGGTGAAGAGAAGGTGACAGATACAAGAGATGTTATCATGGCAGAAACTACAATATTTGGCAACTGACTAGATAAACGAAGTGAGAATAAGTCAAGAATGACAGTAAGGTTGCAAGCCTAGATAACTGGAAGAATGGTAATGCCTTCTACAAAAATATGAAAGGGTAAGAGAGTAAGTATTTATATAGCGCCTGCTACATGCCAGGCACTATGCTAAGCACTAGATAAATATTGTGTCATTTGAAATAGTTTAAGTTCAGATGAGGTAATAATCATATATAAGTCACTTTCTGGACAAAATGTTCAACTATAAAATAACAGTTTTTCCCAAGAACAAGGGGGAAGGAGTCTAGAAGTCATGAATGGAGAGAGCAAACTCAAGAATGCTATAAAGAAGCTAAGAGAACAGAAACTACATTCTAAATGCAAGATTTATCCCTCTACTAAAGGATTTAAAGTATCAAGAGTTAAAGTTTCCTGGCAGGTATCAGTCATATATTTATAACCTTAATATTTAACATGGAAAGATGGTAGTATATTACTCAGATTCATCTTGGGTTACTACACATGAGGTCATTTTTAGCACTTTTTATTTAATAAGATGGAACAAAGCATATTAACACATTCCAACACAATAGAACAAGCACCATTCTTAACATTCATAGTTAAGAACATAGATAACGTTTCCATCTCCTTCAACATCAATCTCTGTAGCTAACAAAGCAACCAACAGAGTAGAATAAGTGTTTAATTCATTCACTCATTCATTTGTATGTTGGAATAGCAGTGAAATGTCTTCAAAGTAGTGATTAGATTTTTAGATCTTAAAAGAATGCAATTTTTAAAAAAGCAATGAAATTGCATAAAAGTCTCAGAATTCCAAACTAACGTGTGAAAGGAAATAGGCAGACAAAGCTAAAGTTATACACAATCTCGTATCCGTTGAATTAGCAAAGCAACCAACTTGATTACCCACTTACACTCCTATACTGGAAGAAAGGTGCAAATAATTCAACCCATTTATTTTGAATTTCTAAAAGTAAAACATGCTTTTAATAAATGAGCATTTTCACTTATTTTTTTAAATAGGAAAAGAAAAGAAAAAGAAAAATAGAATATTATTATTTCTTTGTATTGCCAGGTGGGAAAAAGACTCAGTATCAAAAAAGTCAAAGATTATTTTAAATTCATTATAATTTTTAAAAAATATAAAAGATGGCTATTTCGTCAATTTTTTTAAAATTTGTAAACTAGAAGAATCTTTCCATGGAATTTTAACCTTGAATAAGCTTTTTAAAATGTATTGAGAATATTAAATTCATTTCAATAACAAAATCACTGTAAAAGAGCCTTGTTTAGCCAAAGGGAAGAGAGATTCCCTATGGATAAAATGGTTCTCCAGATGCTCTTATTTGCAGATGACACTGTGATGAATGTACTGAGAACTCCACAATCACTCAAAGGAGGTAGACACAGCAATCCACACACAAGAAATGAAGAACTTATTTTGACTAAATGATGACATAATTGGATACAGAGTCCACTGAGTTAGGCTGCCACTACACAGCTTGGAGAGGAATTAAATTTGGATGGTGACTAGAGCCCAGAGCAAAAAGAGAAGAAAAGAATTGGATAGATTTAATTTCACTGATCTCAAATGGCTCAATTGTTCAATATAACAAAAGTCATTTTTTTCAAGACCAACATTCCACTGGTGTTTCTATATGCTATAATTTAGGGAAAACCATCATCTCAGAAAATTCAAAATGCAGGTAACACAGCAGAAAGATAATGGGGTGGTAAGCTATAGCATGTTAGCAATAATAGCTTGTGTATAAGAAATGGTTTAAAAACTATCATCCTGGAAATCAAGACCTAAGGATGTGGGCTAGTCATGAAGCAAGAATGAGGGATAACTGATTAGTGCTACCTTGGTAATCACAAAATATTAAAAGAATGGCAGGAAGATCTATACAAATAGGGTAAATCATCTTTTGAGGTTTTATGGAAAGATATGGACAATAATTACAGGCTGAGAAGCCACGAATGACTTTCCATATGCAAGGATAAGAGAAGAGCCATGTCACTAAGATTATGGATATTATTTAAGGATTGAATACTATCAAAACAGAAATATTTTCCTTCTTGAAGTAAAGATATTTAAAAAACCATCATCCCACATATATGTGTGTATGTATGCTTATTCAGACATGTACATACAAAATAAGATCCTTTTAATAAATAATGCTGCTTAAATTTCTTTGCCAATGACTTGAATAAAGGTATACAGGGTATCCTCATCAAATATGCAGATAAAATAAAGCTGGAAGCGACAGACAGCTAACACACGATCAAGATCCAAAAAAATTCAGACAGTAACAGTATCAGACCCAATCTAATGAGACAAAATTTATGAGGGATACAAGGTTTAATACTTGGGTCCAAAAAACTGATTTGACAAATATGAGATGGGAAGTAAAAGGTTAAACAATACATTTCCTAAACAAGACCTAGGGATTTTGGTGGCTCTTCAAGCTCAAGAAATCAGTGGTTTGGCGTGGCAGCCAAAAAAGCTATCATGATCTTGGCTATATCAAGAAGTTCTCAGCTTCCAAGCAAAAGGAGGTGAAAGGCCCTCATGGCTCTTGCCTGGTCAGACTACATCTGGGATGTTGTGTTGAGATCTGGATACCACATTTTAGGATAATGTCCACAAGAGAATTATCAGGATGGTGAAGGGCCCTGAGCAAATGTCATATGAGGATAATTTAAAGAATATGAAGACATTTATTCTGGCAAAAACTCATGAGTTTTTGAAGTATGTAAAGGAGAGGTCAGACTTGTTCTGTTTGGCCAAAAAGGCAGAATTAGAAACAGCAAAGCTTCAATGATGCATATTTAGGTTTGATGTAAGGAAGAATTTCCTAACAATTAAAATAATCCATAAATAGAATAACATGCCTCTAGACAAAGCTGGATGAAGCAATATCTCCTCTTAATCACTCTATACCCAAACCTGAGCCTTATTCTTCCTTCTGACCTCACAAAGAGTACTCCAGTTTTCAGGTTGATTTTGCATGTTTTGGGACATTAAGAGCTTGGTGTGAAGAATTTGAATTTGTCTATGAACTGAATGTAGAAAAACCATAATTAGGATATTTGGACATAAAACACAACATGGACATCTATGTATTTATCTGTTACTCTCTTCTCCTTATGAATGAGCAGGATGCTGGTGGGTACAGTCACAGTGCGCTGACCCTGGAATCAGGAAAATCTGAGTTCAAATCCAGCCTCAGATATTTACTAGCTGTATGATCTTGGGCAAGTCATGTAACCTGTCTGCCTCAGCTTCTTCAATTATAAAATGGAGGTAATAATAGCATCTACCTCCCAAGGATGTTGTGAGGACCAAATGAAATAATATCTGGCACATAGAGGGCACTATATGGTAGCTATTGCTATTATTATTTTTGTTGTTAGTACCATAACCACAGTGGAATATTATTACAACCATCCCGGATCAGGGCTCATGAATGAGAATTTTATAAGTCACAATACCTTATGGTTTACTCCTACAGTCCTGAGGGGAGAAGCAGTCAATTACTAAATAGGGACTGAACTCATTGGTCCTGTATGAGTTGGAAATAGGCTCAGAGAGGGTGTGCTACACAATTTAATCACATATTTTGATGAACAGTCAAAAGGTTATCTCCATGGAGGAGGGGAAGCAATCATTAAATGAATGAAAACTGTGACAAAATATTAAACAATCCATTCTTGATTATTCAAATTAAAATATTGTAACTACTTCCCCTAAGATGACCATCTTAGAATTTTTGGTCTTTCTGATCAGAGGCAATTAATGCTTCTGTGGATAGAGGCCTGGAGTAAGGAAGAACTAAGTTCAAATCTGGCCTCACACACAAGTTGTGCTGACCTTGGGTAAATCATTTAACTTTGTCTGCTTCAGTTTCCTCACTGTTAAATGAAGAACATAATAGCACCTACCTCCTGGGGTTTCTGTGAGAATAAAACTAAGATAATATTTCTAAAATGTTTAGCTCAGTGCCTGAAACAGAGTAGATGCTAATTAAATGCTTGTACCCTTCCCTCCTCAATTCTGACTACAAAGCAAGCACTAACAGAAAGCTTGAACTTACTGTTGTTACCTTAAACTCAAGCAAAAAACTATGCAGCTGAAATGGTCATTTGGTAAACACAACACAGAGATAAAAACAAAATTTGGATGAAGAAGGAAAGGTTATGGTTCAAAATATGTATTCCTCTAAAAGTTAAAATACTGAGAGTTCTAAATGACAACTAAGGAATGAAGATAAATATGATTTTTTAATACCTAAGATCATACAAGACCAAACCCTTTTACGATCCTCATCCTAGACGGGTGCAACTCTCCAGAACAGTGTTCCATAGGAGTTAGTAGGTAGTATTTCAGTATAACAGGGTACATAGCCAAGAGGGATGCTAGTGAGCCTATTTCTGACCAGGAACGATGAGAGAGTTGGTCCAATGGGAACACAAAGTCTTCTAATTGGCCCAAGTGCTAGAAATGAGGATGGGCAATCTCTCCTTCTCCTCCCAAGTGGCTTCAGAATAAGGAATGCTCTTGGAGTCAGGAGGATCTGAGTTCAAATCTGGCCTCAGACACCTGACACTTACTAGCTGTGTGACTCTGGGCAAGTCACTTAACCCCAAGTGACTCACCAAAAAGAAAGAAAAAAGAATAAGGAATGCTCTGAACTACTGAGTCAGGGAGGGAAAGTCTACCCTATCTCTCACAAAATCTCTATGTGGACCTGATTTCAGGGCAAATCTTTTTCTATTATGTTTCTTTTATCCTGCTCTTAGGTGAACAAGTAACTGGAGATGTAACTGTTATGTTAGTGTGCTTCAAAGCATCAGAAGAGCTATCAGAGAGGTCCACTCAGCAAGGGGATCTGGTAGAAGACATCCCTGGAGCCAGTAGCAGCAGCTGCTAAGTTTGGTAAGAAGCCAGTCCTGAGTAGTGACCAACCTGACTCAATCCAACAGTGGACTGATCCATCAGCCAAAACACTGTCATCAAGCAAGAAACTAGTCCAGCCAAGCAAGACAGCAACTGGTTCATCAGCAACACCACACCAGAAGCAAACTTGGTGGGGACCCTCCAATGGGACCAAGAATCATCAGATATACCTCTGCCTGACATCATCCCTTTCTGTGTGCCTCATTGTCACGATATTTTAAATTTGTGCCTTCAGATGGACTCTGTGGGCAATTAGTGAAGGGTGTGCACCTTCTGGTCTTGGGGGAGCTGTTTTATAACTATTGCTCTTGCTATAACTCTTGAGTAAATACAACTGGTTAATCAATAATGGAGTGAATAATTGCATCAGAGCTCATGAGTAAGAATATTAGAAGTCACAGCTCCTCAGAGTGATTCCTAGATCCCTGAGGGAAACAGTAGTGGCTCACTATCTCAGGATCCAACCTACTAGTGAATTATGAGTTGGAAGTGGGCCCACACAATGTACTACACAATTATATCACACAGACTGCTAAAAAGTCAGAAGGCTATCTACATGGGGGAAGGGCCCATAATCATTAAATGAATGAAGATTAATTATGAAAAAAGATCAAGAAATTCATTTTTTTAAGTCAAACTTTTATAATAACTCCTCTTAAGATAATCATTTCAGAATTTTTAGCTCTTCTTACCTAGATATTTTGAAGATCTAGAGTCTCTAAATAATGAATGAGGAGAATTAAAGGAGAATGAAATGAAAGGCCTGAGGTGGGGAAGAGGGCAAGTGTTTCAAGGACTCAAAAAGCAGACAGAATAAAAAACAGTCCTCTGTAGTTGAAGTACAACATTTCATCAATAAAGTTACAATTGGGCTATTCTTTTTTTGCTGTAATTTTTATATCCTATGCTATATAAATTTGAAAATCTATAAAATAAAAAGTTACAATTATTTAACTTACTTTCTCAGTAGTAACCGTCAAAGAAGGAACCAAGGCTGGTGATGGTTCTGGTTGTTTCTTATGTTTTTGTTTGTGTTTGTCTTTTTCTTTATATTTCTAAAAATTAAGAAAAGTAAAGTACAGGTTTAGGTTCATATGATGATCCATACTTATTTTAGCACAACAAAAAGAGTAAAGTTTTTTTTTCTTTGTTTTCTTGGTGGTGGCAGCAGTAGGTGGGAGATAGGGTGAGGGGAATGTGATTGGTAGACAGTATTTAATCATTCAAAATATCTGACTGCAAAAAATAAACTAAGATAAATCAACTGCTTCTATCAGAATGATCTTAGGGTTATTCATAACAGCAGTTTTCCATACATTAAAAATTATATAAAATAAGCACTTTAGCTTCTAGCCTCAACTGCTTAGACCAAAAAATGCAAAATAATCTAACCAACTGGACTGTTCAAGATATGCTACATATAGATGATGATACCTAAATAAATAAGAACACCTGAATCTTCTGTCTTTTATAAGCATCAAGTTAAATGGAGGAAAGGATCAGAAAAGAATATAAATAACTGGTTCAAACAACGCAGAAAGTTCCATAGGATACACAAAGTGCTATGAGGACCCAGAGCAAGATCACAGCTCATCTGGTTAAACAGAAAATCAGGGAATAACTTCACAGACAAAGCATTTACATCAGGACTTTAAAGGTGAGAATATTTTCAAAATGGAGAAGTGGGAGACAGGCATATCAGGTAGGAAAACAGCACAAAGGAGGAAGAGGAGACTAGGAAATATAAAGTGTGTTTATGGAACAATTATGTAGTCCAGTTTGGCTACAGCATAGAGTGAATAGTCAGTCAGTCAGTCAATAAATGTTTAATATGTTCTGTGCCAGGCGCTATGCTAAGTGCTGGGGATAAAAATATTAGTTTAAAAAAAGGGGGGGAGTCCTTACCCTCAACAACCTTACAGTCTAAAGGGCGGAAACAACACACAATAGAAAGTTGAAAAGCTAGGGATGGAGGAGTACCTAGTAAGAGGGCATGATGGAGAAGACTAAAAGCAACGCAGCTGGTGGGAAACAGGAAGAATACTGTGCTGAACTCCTTTTTAAACAGCCTTCAAGTTCATGGCTCTGTCCTCAGGCCAAAAAGTCCAATCAAAAGGGCAGATGTGACTAATGAGATATGTGTACCAGGCAGATTCAAACATGCAGAATAATGGGATTTCCCAATGGTGACATTCCTAGAGAAGAAAAGCATGATGTGGAAGTCCAAAGAAGTCCAATAGCAATATAACTGATGGGAAATGGGGAAAAGATTATGCTGAGTCCCTTTCTTAAACAGAGGCCCAGTAAAACTGGGAAGCAAAGAAATAAAACTAGAAAGATCAACTGTTACCATACATAAGAATGCTAGCCTGAGGAATTATTACATAATTATGTAGGGAAAGAGCATACTGAAGATTTTAAAAAGATTAAACTAGCAACAATATGTAATCCAATACACACAAAAACACTTTTTACATTTATAAAGCATCGAATGTTGAACACTGTCCTAAATACTGAGGAACACTGAAATTTTAGATAAGACAGAGTTCCTGTCCTCATAGAGCATATAATCTGGTAGGGAGATATGACTTATGACTATATAACACATCATATATACAAAAGCACATGGACTGCATTAGACCTAAGATCTGGAAAGCTCATTACTGATAGGGAGAAATAAGAGGTTTCCTAGAAGAGGTAAGACTGCATTTGAGGTAAGTTTTATGAAGTAAGTCAAAATCCAAAACTGAAGAAAGGAATGCCATTCATGAAATGAAGAACAGCATGAGGAAAGGCACAGAAGTAGTATAAATGACAGTGTTGGTGAATGGCACATACGGCAGAAACATTAAGTAAACAAAGAAAAATCATATGAAATAAAATCAGAAAGAGAGGAAATGACTTGAAACTTCACTCACTAGGCAAGGGGAAGAAGCCACTGAAGATTTCCTGAGAGTAGAGGTGACATGTCTACACAGATTCCCAAACTTCATCTCATAACAGAATAAAAGATAATGGAAAAGGGAGAGTTTGTTAAGGTGGAAAGATTAAGAGACAAATGGTATAGATCCCTATTCCAATGGGAAAAGGGAGGAAGGGAAGGATGGGCTAGATAATATGGAGATAAAACTGAGAGGACTTATGCATGTCAACAAAGAGGAGTCAAAAGTAACATCAAAGTTTTGAATAGAGTGTAAATGGGAAGGTCAATTAAAAAAAAAGATGATAAAAAGAAAAAGGTCCAAAAATTCCTACTCAGATGCCTCATCACGGTTTGAAGTTGAAGGTTTAGGAGAACCAAATCTTTGATAGGTTCTACCTAGCTAGAAAAGCTTTGAGTACTATCACAGCAACAGAAATGGTTTACTTTCAAAGGGCATAATGTGGAGTCATGCCAGCAAACTGGAAAATACCACAAGCGATTTCATTGTAATCCACGAAAATAAAACAACAACAACAAAACCCTCACCTATTTGCACAGGAAAATTTGACCCTGATTCCTGTCATAACAGAAGGGAATGACAGAAAAGGTATTTTTAAAAAATCACTTCCTTTCTAGATTGTCCATTAACACTAGCTTAACTGTCGGCACTTGAAATATAAAAATCCTTATCTGGTGACCAATAGGAAGAGAATCGGAATCTTATCAATCTTGGTATTCTTGCTATAAAGAAAATCAGAAGAACCCTCTTAGACATCCCTTAGAACTCCCTTATCTAAATTAAGTTAACATACATTTTCAAACTCAGGAATTTCAATGCAAGAGTATGTAAGGAAAGACAACAAAAAATGTACTAGAAAACATGGTTTAGGAGTAAAAAACAAGAGACCAATATATGCAGACTAAACACTGAAATGCTTGTATCTATGGATGATGGTTAAGTTCATAATATAAAAAAAGTTAACCCCTCCCAAAAAATTCAGAAGTCATTGAACATATAAATACACCATGACAAAAATTAAATTTATTACAAATGATAAGAAATGGTTACTGATATGGGAGTCATCTCTGAAACAGCTGTATGAAGTAAAACCATCAATTTGTTAGAGCAGAAATCAAAATGACCACCAAATTAGAAGATTAAAAATCATGCCATGTAAAACAACTTGGAAAGACTTAAGAACTCTGATTGGTGTAATAACCAACCATAATTCCAGAAGACTAATGATGAAACACGCTACAGACCTCCCAGAAGAGAAGTGATGGACTCAAGATGCAGAATGAGACTGACATTTTGGACATGGCCTGGTGTGGGAATGTATTTTTGTTGACTAGGTATATTTGCTACAAGAGCTTTATTTTTATTTTACTTCCAATGCCATTGTCTTAGCTAGAAAGTATTCTGAAGTGCTAATTCACTGAGTGGAGTAGAAGGGTATAATAGTAAAGGGCAACACAACTTAGAATATAAACTTACTTGAAAATTTTAATTTTTTCCTTTTAATCTTATTTTGTTATCTTTTATTTTTACATACTTTCATTCCCAAAGATTAAAAAAAGAGGGGGGAAAAGCAGTTTAGGGAAAACTAACCAGCACAAAAAGGAGGTATATTTTTTCAATTCTTCTTGAGAGGTAAGACTGGTTGTTATTAATTACAAAATGATCACAGTAATTTTTTGGAACACTTTTCCCTATTACATGTTAATGAAACTTGTGGAACTAGGAATGGTTTAGGACCTGAGAAGGTGGCCTGAAGAAAGGTAGGATGAAGCCTGGATAAGATGAAATTAACAGGAGGATCTCTCTTTTCCAGATGCCAGGATGATGGTATAAGATTATCAACAATATTATCAATTCAAAGAATGAGGAGCATTGAAGGGAAAAACAAGTCCACAGACACTTCGCAAGAGATCCAATGAATCTAAGTTCTTCCAAGAGAACAGATGAAAAAGAACAAATACCTGTTGAGTTTTCTGTAAGTTCTTTTCTCTACAATGGTAATGGAGTCATTTGGACTCTCATGATAGTTCCCCATGTGCTGCAAAAAAAATAAAAATAAGGGGCAGCTATGTGGTGCAATGGATAGAGCACTGGCCCTGGAGTCAGGAGCACCTGAGTTCAAGTCAGGCCTCAGACACATAACACTTACTAGCTGTGTGACCCTGGGCAAGTCACTTAACCCCAATTGCCTCACCACCACCCCCCAAAAAAAAGAAAAGAAAAAAGTCTGCTAGAGACAAGCTTGATGTTATTGAGGGAGTGATTCTCAAATGTGAAAGGGAATTACCAAGCACTTACAAAATGTTGCAGACATTACTGCTTCCCAAAAAGTGCTTGAGATAAATACCTTTCACGTCTATAAACTCTATGACAATAAGTTAACAGTCATGTTGAATTCATCCTTGATTAAAGTATGGCCAAGAAAAAGATAAGATTTTATAAACATTCCACAGAAGAGCACACCCCTTCAGTTAAACAAGTGTAGGGAATAAAAAAAAAATCTCACTGTGTTTATGGTTTGTTAGCTTAAAAAGCATTTCATTTGGTACAGCAAAATACTATATTAAAGAGTCTCTTCCAAAAAGATTTGTCTCTTAAGCAAAAGTTAAAATCATTTAAGGTTCCCTAAAAATTCTAACCACAGAGCCCTCTATCCAAAGACCCTCTAATGTGCAATTCTTTTCATGATCCCAAGCTCCCACCTAAAACAAAGGTTCATCTTTTTTACCCTCAATATTCTTATTGCTGAAAGTCATGAAAAATTCTCAAGATTTATATCTAAAGATCACCCAAAGGCAAGGAAGAGAGATACGTGAAAAGTACAACTATAGTGTGACACATGAATTAAGAATTAAACACCAAAAGCAGCATAGCAGATATAATCAGTGATATATACCCAGAAAAGGTGGTGAGATGGTCATGTAGCTTAAGCCAAGGTTAAGTAAGGAACAGCCTGCATACTCCACCACTAGCCACACAGTGGCAATCAATTAACAAACATTTATTAAACCCTTACTATTTACTAAGCACTATGTTAACCACTGGGGATACAAAGAAAATGCAAAAACAGCCCCTAACCTAAAGGAGCTTACATTCTAATATTCAAGCATGGT